GCTCCATGAAACAGCTGGGTGCTTCTCACCTTTCCCAAGTGACTCTTTCACAGCTGGGACAGTGGAACTTGCTTGTTTGTTGTCACCACCTTAGGAGGTCATTTCTAGAAGAAACCACACAGGCAAATGCTGGGGCAAATTCCCGGATAGATTAAATTCTGGCATTAGTACAGGCTGATTATTCTTAATTTACTGGGTTTGCATTGCTGAGCAGTTTAGGCACACCTGCTCCAATCAGGAGGAGGAAATCAGCCATGGTGATGCAGTGTGGACAGGGGCATCATCCCTCCTGGCATCCCAGGGGAACAGCCTGCCTCCATGCCAAGGTGGGAGCAGCCAGCAGAGAGATGGAGAGCATCCCCCCATCCTGCTGGCTAACAGCAAAAGCTGCTGAGCACTCCCATGAGGGGCTGTGCCTTTGAGCTTCAGGGGGTCACCCTCCCTTCTTTCCATCATGTCTGGAAGCAGTGTAGCAGCCCAGGCACAGACCTTTGCTCTCACTGGGACCTTTCCTAAGGCTCCAGCATCCCTGCAGTCCATGTGGACTGTCAGACTCTGCCCAGAGAAACTCTGGCAGCCATTCCTGGGCTCTTTGCAGAGTTCACTTGGAAATGAGTTGCCAGTTCCTCACCAAAGAATCCAGCTCCATGACAGATCTTCATGCTTTATGTAAACATGTCAGTAAGCATCCATGATTGCTCCTTGCCTTGGATCTTCAGGAGAAAGAGCATTAACAATTGCCAATTTACTCTGGTTAGTCAGCAGCTCCGTGCTGCAAGTCTGGACACTCTGTGAGCACTCCTTCCAGGACACACACATGTTTCCTGAGGTGGAACTTTGAGCAAGCCACAAATATTTGTCTCTTGGAGCAGTGGTGAAGAATTGAAACTAACTCATGCAGAAAAACACATTAACTTCATTTAATTGACAATCCCCTCATTATCCTGGGGCTGAAAGGGCCAGAGGAAATGCACACACCTAGAAGAAGCTGTGGAGAGTGCAAAGCTTTGGAAGTTGCTTTTTGTAGGATTGAAAAGCCCCTCAGAGGAGGGAAAGACAAAGCAGGGCTGAGGACCTGGCAGGCTACAGGACAGCACAAAGACAGTGGTGGAGCAGGGCTGGGCAGGAATTGTGCTCATCACCCAGATCCATGGATGCTGCACCCCTGACCTTGCATCTGGTGCACATAAACCAGCCAAAAATTTCAATGGGATCCACCCTGTGGCTTTACTCTGCTGAACCCCAAGGCTCCAGACAAGGCCATTGAAGAAGCAGTGATGACCAGCACAGCAGCCCAGGCATGTACAAGAGATGCTGTGATCCCTCCAGCCCCATCCTGGAGCCAGGGATGTGTCCTGGACATGTTAAAACTAACCACATCAATCCATCCTTCCAGCCTGGAGAGCTGGCTGGTGAGGACAGGTCCTCATCAGCCTTCTCATGTCCAAACTGTCCAAGGTGAGAGGTTAATGAATAGAAAACCTCTTCTTCAGCCACTCCAGCACCAGTCTGGGCAGCCAGTAGGAGGAGGAAGAGCAGGAGGAATGCTGCTGCATCCAGACTGAGCCATAACTCACAAACTTTTGCTTTCTAATGTGTTCCTGCAGAGCTGTGGAATCCCATTCCCAGAGCCCCATAGCACGTCTGATGCCACTGCCTCCCATTTCAATATGATTCTTGCAGTTTACTGGAGCTGAGCTCCCACTATGGGGAAAGAAAAGGATTATTCTCTGGCCCTGTTTCAGAGCTGGTGCTGTGAAGTTCTGATCTACAGCCTCGTAGGAGCCAAGCTGATCCCAACACACAGCACACTGCAGGCATCTCTCCTACTCTGCTCTCTCAGCCTTGAGTTTTTGCTTTTTAATTTCCTGTGCCACAGAGCACTACTGGAGGGTCTCCCAGGGACAATGTTTCCCTCCCATACAGCATGGTCAAGGTTGGTAGGGGTTGGATGTTAGGAAAAAATTTTTCACTGAAAGAATAATAAAGTACTGGAATGCTCTTCCCAGGGAGGAGGTAGAGTCACGACCTCTGGATGTGTTTAAAAAAAGACTGGACATGGCTCTTGGTGCTGTAGTCTAGTTGAGGTGTTAGGGCATAGGTTGGACTCAATGATCTTAGAGGTCTCTTCCAACCTCATAATTCTGTGATTCTGAGGTGACACAGTAAGTGACATCAGTCTCAGCACAGGGGAGTTGCCAACAAGGCTGCTTCTGATGCATTATCCAAATATTTCAAGCCACAATCAGCCTTAAAGCAAAAACCCCTAGCACTCCAGGGGAATATTTAACCTGCTGGTGATGTGAACCTGGAAGCAAACAGGGAAAGGTGACTGCAGGAGCAGCAACATCAGCCCTGGGGTGCACCTTCGTGGGCTCTTGGGGAGCAGGGACCGAGCTGCCCAGGGGGAGAAGCCAGCACAGCAGAGGAATCTGCATTTTGGGCAGCCCATTTTTGAGTCCTATCTCCACAGAGCAGCACAGCTCCAGCAATGCCACCATCTGGGAAAGGGCCAAACCTTGTACACTGGCTGCTTTTGCTCACGGCAGAGCAAATTACACTCAAGAGGAGCCTTAGGCTGAGTTTCCTGGCTTTAAACCAGAGCCTACCACTAAATCCTTGCTGTCCAAGTTTGCTGTGAAGTTCCAGCTCATGGACACTGTGCATCCCTTCCCATTTCTATATTATTATTTACATTTCACACCAATGCTCACCTTGCTTACAGGTCTGTGGGATGCCACAGAAGTTACCAAGAAATTACTATGTTATGGCTAAATGACTAAAATTATGGCTAAACAAGCACTGACCATAAAACAAAGCATTTCAAAGCTTCATCCTTCTCATTCCTGAGTATTTTTGCCTCTTTGCTGGTGAGGATTTTCAACATCCCCAGCACAGCTTTGTGCCATAGCCAGACAGTGTAGTTCTCTGAGCTGAATTAGTTGATGGGGATTTTTTTCCTCAGAGTATGTAAATAAATATCAATATTCTAAACCAAAGACCTCCCAGTAACTAAATATTATTTATCTTAAATTTATCTTCAAACTAAACAGCTTTGTCACATATGTACAATAATAAAGAAACAAATTACAAAGGAGGAATTTGATTTTATTGGTTTTATTCAAAGCCCACGCGTTATATATCAACTCTGAATAACAGACTTTACACACTTCATTAGAGATGCTGTCAAAACTTTGGGTGAAGCTCATTTCACTTCCCCACCACAAACAGGAGACATCACAGCCTGGTTGTTTGTTTTAGTTTTATTCGCTCTTCACAACAGTGACCATTTTCAAACCATATCAGGGAAATCCTCCACTTCACTGGGGAAAGGCACTTGTGAGAAAAGAACAGCTGAGCACGTAGTCTGAATTTGGGTCTTTTTAGGTATTAACTTGATATCCCAAGCTGAGTTACTGACAATAAACCCAACATCTCCTTCCTGTGTGTGACCAATTAGCAAGTGATGGTGTGTTTGCTAAGGATTTACAAAAAATATCTTCCTCATTTTATCGACCCAGTCACTTGGGTGGCAGCTCATGGCATTTTGAATCCCAAAATATCTGAGAGACCACACACCTCGCACGTAGCCCCGATATAGATTTTGGCTCTCGTGCCTCTCTCTTCTCGGTAGCTGGTGGCTGCGCCGCCGGTGTCATCCCAGCAATGCACTCCGGCATTTGGGAGGTGTCAATCTCCGGCAGAGCCGCACCCGGAGCTGCTGGCAGGGCATGACAGAGCACGCTGGGGACACTCAGCAGGGGGACTGCAGGGGGCGAGGCCCTCCTGCAAGCTTTAAGCAGGATGAAATCTCCCTGCCGGCACTGGAAATCTGTCTCGGAGAGGATCACAGGATAAAAACAAAGACATTCAAACCACGGAAGGAAATATTTGAAATGTTGTCAGTGGGATCTGCAACTCCTGCATCAATGTTTGCAACGAGTAATTCTAGCTATGAAAAAAAAGTGGGTGAGCATAGCTTCAGTCAAGCCCAGCTTAGCAAGAATCCTGCTAATGCCACTTCCTTCACCGCCGGCAGCCCTGGCCAGGGCCCCGGGCACTTGGCCAAGCCACCCCCAGCCTGATCCAGCAGGTACTGGAGCATTACAAACCAACAGAGGCTCAATCCTGCAGGGAGCTGAGCACTGACCTGGCCAAGCACTCAAGCACAGGCTTCATTTAATGGTGTGGGAGCAGGGAGCTCACCGGGACATTTTGTATTTGCGGTACCGGCGCTAAAGTTTTCAGCAACTCCAAGATCCAGTCCTGCACCTGGGAGTGTCCAAGCCAGCCTGGAGGAGGCTTGGAGCAAACTGGTCTAGTGGAAGGTGACCCTGCCCACAGCAGGGGGTTGAAATGAGATGAGTTTTAAGGCTCCTTCCAACTCAAACCACCCCGTGGTTACATGATTCTATACTCTCAGACAGCGAAAGGCTCTCAAGCAGCAATTATGGATACAGCTGTTCCTGCCAGTTGAGCTGCAGCTCCAAGGAGACATCAGCAGCAGCTTGCTCTGCTCTGTCCAGTCTTCTTGCACTTGTCACTGGTCACTGGCAGAGATGATGGTACCAAGCCAGAAGGGACTGACCTGGCTGGGCTGCTCTTACACTGTGAAGTGCAAAGATGTACAAAACCATAAGAGGGAAGTGGCCAGGCATGGGGAAGGCTCATATGGCAGCTGCCACCACTCTCTGTGAGCTTGGGGAACACCAATACACATGGGTGGGCTCCTGGTTTCATTCCAGCACAGTTTAGTTTCTAAAAAAGGATTGTTCAAAACTTATTTATTGCTGGTTTATCCACTGCATCCTCCTGCAGAACCAGCAATGGGAAAGGACAAGCTCAAGCATCCAAAGGGGTCTCAAGACTAAGGTACTGAAGATCAGAAAAGCTCAGCAACACCTTTTACAAAATATCTTCACTCTACAGGTTTTGGAAATCAGGATTACAAGGAAAGAGAGATACCATTTAAAAAGAAAATATAGGTATCCTTTAATACAGGATACTGTATTAAAGCTGTTTACATCCTGGTTAAACTGAGGCAGCAGCTTTGTCAATAAACTGAGCCAGCTTCACGTCTCTCTTGGTCAGCCCACCGCAGTCATGGGAAATCAGGGTTATCTGAACCTGTCACAAAGGAAAGGAAAGAGGTTACAAAGGCATTTTGATCTCTGACATGTAACAGCTCATTGGGGATGCTGTGTGTCTCCACAGTGAGCAGGTTTTACTTGGTGCTCCTGGCAAGCACCAAGCTGGACCCTCCCTGCTCGTGTAAAAGACGCTGTAGGTGAGGAGGCTTTACAGAGCCTGGAATCTCACCAGATGAGCCCTTTTGCAGAATAACACAGGCTTTGTATTCTTGGGTTTCATCCAAGAGGAGGTATCTGATGAAATCATTCACTCTTTACATTTAAATTCCATGGATCAGTTTCACGAAGAACCTGGGAAAGTCACCAAGCTGCTAAGAGCTGGGTCAGGGGCTCATATTTGTTAAGAACCAGCACCCCAAAGGTGAAAAAATTCTTAAGCTTGCTGAAGATAAATTTAAAAAAAAAGGGCAGGTGACACAGCTGCCTCACAGGTCTGTTTAGACTGAGCCAGATGACAAGTTGGGTATGATTTTGTCTTGCCTTTGACTGAGATTTTGGGAAGAAATCCAAGAAAATCAGGAGGAGTGGGTGATCAGGTCTTTTTTCCCAGTGATCATTTAATGTCCCCTGAACAGGGTGACATGAAGGGCTGATGAGGAAGAGTCTCTGCTGGGAGTTTCAGCTACAAGGAGAGGTGGGATGTCCTGCTCTGAGGGTTGTGGTCTGACCTATAGGCTGTTTATCCATATATGCTTTCTTTTGGTATATTTTTAGTGGGATTGCCATATATTCACTAAATGCTACAACAAGCAATGTGATACAATGCAATGAGAAGTATTAGAAAATAAAACTGAAGGGAGAGCAATAATTTCTCCCTTCACACAGCACCTTTCATTCAAGGGCTGCAGTAATCCTTGTAACCCTTGTAAATATGAGACCACCATCAGTTAGGTAATATTATAAACAAATTTTATAAGCTGCTATGTTGAGACATAGGAGCCTACAATTTTTTTAAAAATCAAATCTGAATTGAGACTGCCAGGCTTCCATTTAGGCACCAACAGTCTGCTACCCTACACTGCTGAGCTCCAGACCTGCTGCACAGACAGGAATGAGAGCTGGTGAGTAGTTTTAAAACAGTAATTTATTCAGGTTGGCTAAATAAGAGTTTAAAAGCTTCTGTTTTATTTTTAGATCTCAGCCAGAGAGGTGAAGCCACAGGCCCCAAGCATTCAGCTGGCAGCAGGCGCAAAGAGCTTCACTCTTGATTCCTCACCACTGCAAATCTCAGCATCTCTTTAAAATCTCAAATCTCTTTATAGACACACTTCCCATTCCCTTACCTTGTAGACAAGCTACAAATAAAGGCAGAGAGAATGGGCCAGTGGTTTGGTCTCCTTAACTCCACTGCTGTGTGAGTAACTGGGGCTAGGGAACATCTTACCTTGCTGTAGACATTAAACCATTCTGGGTGGTGATTCATCTTCTCTGCTTGGAGAGCAACACGTGTCATAAAGCCAAAAGCCTAGGGAAAGAGAGAGCAAAGAGAAAAATACTCCTCCACCTGCCAGGATTGGCAGTGGATTGGCAAGATACACTCCAAAATCTCAAAATCTCCTCAAGATGCCCCAGTTGGCTGCATCTTGGGTTTGTGTGTGCTAAATAAGCATTTGAACTTCTCATGCCACTGGTGCATTCTCAACAAGGCTGAAATGATCCCCTGCAGACCCTGGTAAACCACCCTGCTCAACGTGACTTAGCCCAGGACTCAAAGCTATTGCATGACAGCAGTGATTTTACCTCTGGCATCAGCAGGGATTTTAAATATCCATCCCAAGTCCCCCATCTCCTGTTGCATCTTAGAAACATGCCATTTCTAATTAAGCACCATGCCACTGTATGACCAACGCTGCTTCCAGAAACACATCCCTCCATTTAACCATTTTGCTGTTTATTTTACTGTGGAGAAAAAGGCAGCAGGTGGGCCTGCCCCTCTGCTTTATATTTTCCCTTTAAATTAGTTAAAAGAGTTTTTCCAGTCCTCTGTCCCTACATGCTCCCCCAGGACACAGGTTTTATCAGAGGCTCAGAAGGAAAATAATAGCAGGCCCTTGCCAAAATACTTAAGAGCAAATCACTGCATTATAAAGAAAATTAGAACGTCCATGCAAATCAAGACTGTAATTATGCAGTGGGGCCCGAAGGGCCTGGGAGCGTGAGCAGGACGCCTCTCAGCAGCAGGCTTTGCTCATACCAAGCTCCATCCATCGGGTTCAGGACCTGAATTAACATGCAAAGCTGGAGGAACATCCACGTTACAGTCTGGTTCAGATTATAATACAACAAGCTCCACAAAACCGTACCTGATTTAGGTAGGTTTTTAGTGCTAATTTATGGAAGAGAATGTATATAGCCCACATTCCACCAAGTGATGACCATTTCAAACAAACATGTGGTCAATGAATAACATATAATGGTTGATAATAGTTTCAAGTCTTTTTCCCTCTCACAAATTGCAAAAACCTTTAAGGAAAAAAAAAAGAATTGGTGCCTGGATGAAGAATGACTTTGTTGGTCGCTTTGCCAGTCAAATGAATGCAAACGTTATAATCAGAGAAAATCATTCCAATGAGGTTTGTCATTTGGAAATCACCAAACTGTCAGCAATTAAAAAGCTTTTTTTCTTTGACCCAAGAGCTTTCCAAAATTCAGGCAAATCTAACTTCCCTTGAAGCTCTCGCTAGGTTTAGTTTTACTTTGAGTGAACAATTACTTTTAAAAGTTTGCCCATGTTTCAGCAGCGTGCTTTGAAGTAGAAAGCTGCAAGTTGTGCATCAGATGTTAGCAATGATTTGGAAAACTTCTCCATTAATAGTGATTTAAATGTTTTTAGAGTCTTAATAAGAATGCTATTTCCAACACAGCAATCTATACACAGATATATCCTCAAAAGTTTAAAACAGTGATGTGTCTGCAACCAAATTTCCTTTACAGAAACAAACGTCAAGGGAAAAAAATAAAAATAAATTTATAAAACCCCCTGTCAGGTTTTATAGGTATGCTCTATTGGTGTCTGTTCATCCCAGGCACTCACCAGCCTATGTACAGACCCAGGTCACACTGCAAACAGTCCCTGATGGTGAGACAATAATCATTGCACCAAGAAAGCGCACAGAGAGAATTACACAAGCAAAGTACTCTAAAAAATTAATTTGTTCTATAGATAGACCTTCCTCCACACTTCAGATGACAAATCCTCCTCATCAGCAGACCACCAAATCCCCAGTCAGTGCACCAGCACAACACCCCACTGCCCCTTCCCCACAGAGTAGAGTCTGCAACTGGATAAAATGGACACTGGTCACAAAACTGTCCATCCTACCAAAAACTGCTCAACTTGAGGCTGCCCAGATCATGAAAAGCAACACATTCCAGCACAGAGGACTCTCCCCAGGACATGTCCTGCTGCTTGTGGTCCAGCTGCCCACAACTGTCCCAGCCAGTGTGATCCAGTGTCACTGTGAGGGATGAAGCCTGCCCGCCTTCGGGCATGCCCTGCTCTGCTGGGAAACATTCTCCCTCATTGCACGTTACCCACAGCAACTTACTCCTTGCATTTCAGTTTACTTTAATTACACACAAAGTGTAACTCTCACAAAAAAATGAGCTATGGTTCTACTGAGCAATTTCACCAACACAATCTCCATTAAGGTCTTAAATACTTCCTTTACTAATTAAATGAATTGGAACACTATTGTTTATTAATCACCTTTATATTTGTAGAGACTTAACCTTTCTTTGGGAAAATACAACTGGCTCTGGAAGGAAAAGATCTTTAGGTTTGATTAGATATGAAAACACTATTACACAAAATCAGTTTGGACATTTCTTCACGTCTTGAAACTTGATCGGTAATTTGGTCTAATTGGTGATCAAGGAAACTATCTTGTGATCAATTAAAGTAATTACCGCATTCCGGCAACACAACCAACCTTAATTTGAGCAGGAGTCTGCACTTCTTCAAATTTAATTAAAAATAATGAAAATTATTATGCAGTCTGCAGTGCAAGATCATTGTCAAGACTGCACTGGTGGGCAGAGTTTATCAGACCATCACACATTTCTTGATGAAAGTGGGACAACCACTTCACTCATGACAGTGAGACCCAACACAGACTTGACTTTCATTCTATTAATAACAGGGAAGTGCAGTCCCTCAGCCCCAGATGAGAATTTTTTCTGGTTTTTCCCTCAAAAATAAAAAGACAGGAGAGAGAAAGATTTTGTGCATTTTCTAGAAGCCATAAAAAAAGTATTAAAACAAACTTTGATGTAGCAAATATTATTAAGTTTTCTGGTTTTTCAGTAATAGGCATATTAGACACATTTTTAACCTAACCCTTTTAGGACATTTGGGCTAAAATAGTATCCAGACATTCAGGGAACTCCACATGTAGACCACACCACCCAAGGGGTGCAGAATGCAGAGTCCCTGCAACAAAGAGTGAAGAGCAATGTAAGTAAGGAGTGAAGCAATCCTGCACAGACAAGATACATGGGTGTGCTGGTACATCTCTTCCCTTCACATCTTTTAAGATCATGAAAGAAGGAACTAAAAACTAATGGTGTTTCAGTCATAACATCACATTTCAAGTGTTTCTTAAATACTAGGAGCCCTAATATGTCTCCATGAGATAAAAATCAGGGCTACTCATAGAAAAATAAGCTAACCTAAATAAATGAAAAAAACCCAAGGTAAGCCATAAAAGAATTCAGCTGCCTCATGATGTTTTGTGACTGGTCAAGCTACTCTTGAAACTGGTATAATCCACTATCACAAAATAAGACTTAATGTTACTTTTGTTGCCTGAGAATGGAAAAAGCAGGGCCAGACACTTTGCTGTCAGAACTGGGAGGAAAGATGAAATTCCATCCGCTCCTCTGCCCCGCCCAGCGCTGCACAGCTCTGGGAGAACCGCGGGATCCCGGAGCTAATCTGCTATTATTCTTCCTTTCACACTTCTTAAGCAAGGAATCCATTCATCTTAATACTTTTTAAACACGCTGCTTTTGTACAATGCTTGCCAACATTATCTTGATGAGTTATACATCAAAGGCTCACAGGTCGTTGAGTTGTGCTCATACATCACCCACCGCAAGTCCCCCGTGATGGATCACCCCCGTGCATCTCCAGAAGAAAGCAGCTGACAGTACTTGACTCCAAGTGGAGATATTTAAGCAAAACAGCTGAAAGGCTCAACAATATAACCATGCACACTTAATTTTTTTTGTTTGTTTGTTTTAAAATGAAGTGTGCACTCAGGCTTGCTAAATCCTCTGGACGCCCAGCCAAGGAAAGCATGTGCTAATCACAAGTACATTAAGGTTTCTGCCTCCCATCTGTCATTATAACGCTGGAGGTAGCATTAACCCTGACCTTCTGCAGTGCAAGGGCTACCTGTCTTCCCTTCCCCCGCCTCCCAGGCTACATCTGTACCATTTATCAATGGGAAATTAATAAATTACTCAGGTTACAGTGACACTGTCACACAGGAGATGACTACACCTCACACATTTGCTCTCCACTCACCTGAGCACAAAGTACCCAGGGTACAGCATGTATTGTCCTTAAGAGTTTGACACTTGTAACAATAAAATCAATCATTAAGGTTCACTCCCAAACTCCAGAAGCTTTCACGTATCCCTCTGACATTACTACCTAACAGTGAGCTACAAACCAGCACATAAAAGGAAAAAGCTCTTTAAAGTCAAGATATTTTAAGTCGGGATCAGCTGCTAGTCATGAGGGCTCTCATTACATTTTCTCTTGTGCTCTCAGGAAAAAACTGGGGTTTGTTTTATTTTGATTCTATTTACTCCATCACTAAATACTTCTATTGCATAAATATACATAAATCATGTCACAAAGCTACACTCTTTATCTGAAAATGACAACATAGTTAAAACACAAAAAAAAGAGGAATCTAAATAGTATTTAGGAAGCTGACGGCAACACAGAAGGACAGGTACTCATTCCCAAAACCACAGGAATCCCAATACTGGGATTCTTCCCTGTTGCATCATCAATCTGCCTGAACCACCCTCAGGGACACTGAATCCACATGGCATTAGATATCTTCCTCCACCTTTTCGTCTGTGTCTGGATTCATATACAAGATAAATCAGGTGAACATCTCATTGCTTCCCCCTTTTTAACATCAATCCATTAACAGCAGGACAGCAATTACGAATGCAAATAATCAGGCACCAAAACAGAGCTAAACTCAGGTTATTCATGTCCCCCATCTCTCTGCCATGCCTCAAGGCATGGACAAGACAGATCAGGCATTGTGCCTACAATTCCCTACTCTCTCCACCCTGGCATGGGCAGCCAACAGGGTCTGAAGGTGAACACCCGATGAACCACAGGAAGAAATTTGGTTTTCTCCTCTTTAATAGCTCGAGCAGCAAAATATTGTGGACAGAGGCAACCTTCCCATTCCACAGCATCACCTGTGACTGGGG